GAAAGAGATAGAAGTAGGTGAGGCATTGGGGCCAATTGTCTGTGGCATTCAGGGATGAGAATAGCCATCGGATTTGTAAATATTTTCCTTTTATAAATGGCGTGTCTGTCAAATCCATTGCAGTATTCTTGTGTGGACTAAGATAGTCCTGGCAGCAGAATGTCTAGATTCAGGAACTGGCTTTGTCATTTGGCAGCTCAGTCTGGACAATGTTCCTCATTTCTATGAATCACAGGATTTTGTAAAATGGAGCCTCATTATATTTACCTCACAGGATTTTGTCACATTACGGAATTGGAGTACATGAATGAAGCAGGCCTGAGTCAGTGAATATTTGAAGCATGCTTCTGCAGGGCTATGGGAATTCTTATTTCAGTTGGTGCACAGTCTCAAGTCATTTACTTATTGATTTTTAAAATTAATTCAACCAATATTCCTTGAGTATGTATGGTGTGTGTTATTCTCTGTACTCCGGAGGATACAAAGATCAATGATCACAGATCTAGACCTCCAGGTGTCTGGAATGTATAACTGGAAAGCAGTCAATATCTTTAGAAAGATAGAGATAAAATACTTTAGGATCCAGGGTAGTCAAAACGTTGTTGAATAAAAAGTAATCTTTCACCTCTCTGTCCTGAGGTCTAAAGCTCTCCTGAGGTAGAAAAATGCTTTTCATGAGGTATCTTCCACAAATTGGAATCCCAGAATTTTGCACATCTTGTATCAGAGCCTAGACATGTAAATGTTACCAAGGCACCAAGAGGTTGGGCCATGTGATTTCCGTCCCAGCCTAGATGACATCGTGTGTGAATTTGTCAGAAATGCCATGGAAGTTTCACATCAGGACAAACCATCGTGGTTTGCGAACAGTAGAGCATTGCTGAGGGAGATAGATCTTTAATGTGGCCAAGGAGTGTGATTCTTCTTTGTGTGCACTGTGATGTTGATTTTACAAAGGCATGTACTGATTTGAGAGAATGTAATTTTATATACCGGAGTTAGATACACCTAGGAAATCATTCATCGGATAGTCATCAAGAACCTACTGTTTGCTAGGCATTGTGGGGAGTATGATACTGAATCATTTTATTACTCAGACTGGTTGGGGAGAGTAAAGCCTTTTATACACATAGCTCAAATACGTGGTAGTAATGATAAGTGAAAGCATATACAAATTACAGTACAAATTACAGGAGAGGTTTGGGGAGGTATAGGTTATTTCTAGTAGGTGTGCATTTCAGTTGGGCTTTGGGTAGAGCATCATGTGTTCCAGTCTGCTTGGGTCAGCCACACTTTCCTCCTGGTATCCTGGTGTCCCATCCAGTTAACATCTCCTTACATGAGCAAACTTGTCCTCCTAGCTTTGAGGATGAGATGAGGTAAGATTAGACCCTGTGGAGATACAGAACAGTCTAGATAAATAGCATAAACAAAAAACGTGGGCAGTGAAACACTTTGGGTGCTTAGAAAAAAACATGTTTAGTTTGTAGTTTTGGGAACAGGAAACGGAATCATTGGAGATGAAGGTTGGGAGGTCAGTTGAGGTCAGATTTTTTATTTTTTATTTTTTTAGGGACAAGTTCTCATTCTGTCACATAGGCTGAAGAGCACTGCTATGGTCATAGCTCACTGTAACCTCTAACTCCTGGACCCAAGCGATCCTCCAACTCAGCTACATGAGTAGCTGGGATTACAGGCATGAACCATGATGCTCGGCTAATTTTTAAACTATATTGTAGAGATGAGGTCTCGCTATGTTGACCAGGCTGGTCTCAAACTCTTGGCCTCAAGTGATCTTCCTGCCTTGGCCTCCCAAAGTGCTGGGATTACAGGCGTGAACCACCATGCTAGGCAAGGTCAGATTTTGAGTATCCTGAATGCCAGACTAGATACCTTGGATTTATATAGTCGGCCATGGAAGCTTGTAAGTGACTGGTTTTTTTTGTTTTGTTTTGTTTTGTTTTTAATTTTAAAAAGACCCTTGTATTTCCTTCCGGATATACTAAAGGGCTGTTTTTGGGCAACAAGGGTTTAAAACAAAATTGTTAGGACCCACTGCTAATTAAAGAATATTTAGATTCCTGAGTCAGTGGGAAAGTAAGATATGAATTACCACAGTCTGCAGTGAAGTATCACAGAACCTAACAAACCATTAAGTTTTAGAGCATCAGTTGACTTTGGATTTTTGAATTAAACCCTATGGTTTTATAGATGAAGAAAACTGACAATCAGAGAGATTGTGTTAAATGTCAAAACTCTCCCAGAAAGTTACTGGCAGAGATGAGGTGAGAACCTAGATACTCTGATTTCTTGTGCAGTGGGTATTCAACTTCGTATTTGGGGACTTTGTGACGTAATTTTGGCTGGGTCCCATCATTGTCTCTGTGTCTTGGCTTAGCCATGATAAAGCAAAGGTATCTACTTTAAGGATGTTGAAGCTTATTTTTAAAAATGTCTAGTGCCTAGAAATTCTATAAAGAAAGCAAACATCAAGAAGGGAGACAACAGTCATTCCCTTCTTGTGTGCCATTGTCAAAACGCGTGCTGGCTGTGATAGAAACTGTTACGGATAAAAAAGGAAAACAAGGACAACAGACACTACTCTCACATAGTGAAATAGGGCTTCAATTATGGCATGTGTGAAATACAGGAGCTTTTAAAACTGTCTTTAAATATGAAATGTCATATTTTGTGGTATATAGACAAAGTCTGTATCTGTGTATTTTGAAACCTTTCGAAGTGGCAAAGTTAACAACATTGATCATTTAAGTATAAGCTTACAAATAATTAGCTTGTGAGAACTTTATAATTATGCTTAAGTCATTATTGATGCTTATTGAAATTAAATGTGTTATTATAAAGCCGTTAAGGTTTGAGGCAGGACCAACGAGTATGATTTATATATTTTGTACACCTTTATAGAAAGTTAAGTTTTTTTATCATTCTATTTTTGGGCGGCCATCAGAGAGGCCCTGTAAATTACAATTTTGGAATGACCATGGTATACCCAAGCGTTGGGGTGAATATCTTTGTGCATACAACCTAAGTTATTTATATCATACAGTCTTTATGTTAAAGGATGCAAGTAATTTTGGAGATTCAAGACCTGGTTTAAAGAAGTTCTAAAGAAGTGCACTTTAAATAAAGTGCTACAACTTCCTCTCTTAAACCAGTAAATTACTAAATCTCTAATAATTGTATTATCTTGTAAAATTATCTTTTCCTTGCACTTTTGAAAACCTGATTTTAGCTTACTTTAATATAAACAATCAGGTAGACATTTAATACCTAAATGGAGAAGTTGCTATAACATCAATACTTTCTCATGGACACTAATTTGAGCTTCGAAAGAAAAGCATAATTCAAAGGATTATGCTTTTGAAGTACTTAGTTACTTAGAGAATAGTAGGTTTGTTGGGCAAAATGAATGTAAGGCCATAGCAGAAATAATGTTGAAAGGATTTATATTCCAGATACTTATTAACTTAAAAAGACAAAACCATTAGATTAAGAGTTGCTGCGCTCTTGGCCAGAGAATGATTTCCACTGTAGAAAATAGTAGGTCGTCCTAGATCCATCATCTGTCATAAAACATTAGATTCGGGAGGCAGACAGCTAAAGTCACAATAGGGGACCCGCTAACCAGGCCAGCCTAACCGTGGCTTGGAGTGTAGAACTAAATTCAACAGCCTTACGTGAGTGTGATCTTCAGACATGTGACAGCAGTTTCGGGGGCTTCCCTGGGCAGACGTCCAGCTGTCAGGTCCTGGAGTTAACAGTCACTGGGAAGCCCGTGGGTGTGGGGGATGAGAACACTGCTGAGGGGCGAGCAGGTCTGGGGGGCTTGTCAGGTATTGCCAAGGGTTGGTACGGGGGCAGTCAGCTCCTGAAGGTGGAGCCTGCGGTGCGGAGATGCTCTTTTTGTGACATGATTTTGCATTCCTGTTGATTTTTGTACTATTTATTGAGAACATGGTAGAACTAACAGGGAAGAGAAATGGTCATCATATTATGAGATTTTAAAAGAATAATTGCTTCAAATTAATCCGTCTGCTTTGTAAAATAAAGAAGGCGAGAGCTTGCGGTGACAGCCACCATTTCAAGTGCGCCCATGTGGAAGCCTTTTCTAATTCACTGCCTCCACTACTTCTGTGTGCTATTAACAGGTTCCTAGCACAAACTGCCTTATGCTATAAATGTTTCTGCATATGTCTTATCTTTCCAATTAGACACCATAGCCTCTTTGAGAGCAGGGTCAAGGGTTCAAAAATAAAAAATAAAAGCATTTATGTTGCACTTTAACACTGTACAGAATGCCTTTCATATGTTATTTGGTATCTCCTAACAGTGTATCGAGTGTAACAAAGGCTCCTAAATAACAGTTAGAAGAACAAGGTGTAATATTTATATATTTTAAATTTTTAATTAAGATTCCCTAAAACTTAGTTTATGCTAAAGGATTATACATTGATGATATGTTCATATTTGCTACATGTGTTTTAATTTAGAGTATTGAAAAATATCCTTTACATAATCTGAGCAAATATAACTTTAAACATTTAGGTGAGATTTCTTTAGGGGTAAATTTGAAATCAGTAACTAGAGACAGTAGGGAAAGTTTTCTGACTTTTAAAATTAAAACTAGAAACTTAATGGCAGATTTTTTTTTTTAATGGGAGATTTTAAAACTTTATGTTAATCAAAGTTACATCTGTGAATGATTAACAAGCACATGACTAGGGTTCCCAAGGCAAAAACAGCAGTCCCCTCACCCACAGCTCTTCCCAGAGTTGACCACATTTACATATTTAACGGTTTCTTCTGGTATTTACCACTGTGTTTTCAAATAACATATTTATTTTATTTTTCAGCTTTAGATTTTGAGAACTGACTTCCCACTATGGGCGAGGATTCTGCTCTCTTACTCTGCCTTCCCCGTGAACACACACCCGCTCCCCTTATCCTCTTGGTGTGTTGTGTCACCTTGTAAAGAAGTCAGTAGTCAGTGTTTACATTTTTATGACTATGTAAATATTATTCATGGATGATCAATCTAGTGTACTATGATGGCATTTCCTTTTATTTTCTGTGTAGTTAATAATTGTCTCTTTTTTCCATTGACTTCTCTATATTCCTGTCACCAATTTGCTGCTACGATTATTAATATAAATCTCCTTTCAGTACTTTCACACAAACCAGGTATTCTGTTAGTTTGAACCCTCCTGCGTCTTCCATTCTTAGTCTTCAGTTTGGCCTGGTTAATCACTGTAACTGCTGCACGCTGTCATCCTAGAATCTCTGTACTGCCGTCTTGCAGGTTTCGTTTGTCATTTTGCTGTGTTGGGTTCTCTATTTTCTGGATTCCATGCCTTCCAATTTTCTTGGTTCATTCTCTCTTTTGGTTGAGTTGTGTTAGAAAGGGAGCATAGGAGTTAGATTTGTTGAGCCTTTGCATCTCAGCAAATGCCATTATTCTACTCTCATACCTTGTTGATGTTTTAGTCAGGGATATAATTCCAGGTTGGAAATAATTTGTAGTAAAAATTTGATGATATTGCTTTACTGATTTATAGCTTCCAGTGTTGCGTTTGAGAAGTCTGATGGCTTTTTCCTGGGCTTAAATTTTTTTTTTTTTTTTTTTTTTTTTTAATTTTTTTTTTTGTGATCTGTTTCCTCTGAAGCTTTTAGGCTTTTGTGTTTGCCTTCATATTCCAAAATTTTACAGTATTGGGCTCTCATGTAGTTGTTTTTTAACCATTGTGCTGGGTGGACCATATATAATCAGGAAACCATGATCATTCAGTTCAGAGAAATTTCTTGTACCAGTTCTTTGATAATATTTTCCCCCTCATATTTACTTTGTTCTCCCTCTTTAGAACTCATACTAGTCAGATTTTAGACCTCATAGACTGGTTGTTCACTTTTCCTGTCTTTTCCCTTCTGTTTGTCTTACTCTTTGGGAAATTTTCTTAACTTCATCTTTTGGCATCAATAATAGATGGGTTCATTTCTGCCATCATATTCATTTCCAGAAGTTTTAAAATTCTTTTCTCTAAATGTTTCTATTTTGGTAGTAACCTCTTCTATTATATCTCTCTAAAAATGCTAATTGAAATTTTTTTCAATTTCTCCAAAGAAAATTGAAGTTTTCTTTTATTCATTGAATAACGTCATTTTCATTTTTTTTTTTTTTTTTTGGTTGTGTTAGTTTCTGCTTTCGTGTCAGGGTACTAGTGCTCTTAGCTTTTGGGTTAGACGTAACTAATACCAACCATTCTGGTTCTTCACTCCTTCCAGGCACGTGTAGAAGATTAAGTTCTGTGCATCCATGTGACTTGTTTGGGGCAGTGGATTGTGAAACGAAGTGATATTCATGCTTCCCTTGCCTGGGTGATTGACGTGTGGAGATGGAGGTGCCATGAGCACTGGAGACACAGTCAGGAGGAATGCTGCAGTGTGGGGGCCTGCTGCTTGGGGAGTCATCCAGAACCACTTTGGACTTGGCTTGAGTGGGAAATAAATGTTTGTTTTGTTTAGCCACTAAGACTTTGGTATTGTTTTTTTATTGCAGCATCACCTAGCCTGTCCTGGCCAAGACAGCTATCAGTTATATTTAAGAATGAGACACAAAAAGCTCTATACTAGGGGAGGGGCTAAGTTGCATGGTAGTGGTCTGGCTCAGCCTCTCTATTAGGGCGCTCCCAGATGTTAATGCCAGCAGATCTCTTTGCTCCGTCTGGTTAGTTTTCCCAGGAAAAACTCCTCCAATCACCAACCTGGCAAATGTAAGCCCCAGCTCCTGGGATTCTGCAAACTGAGTAATAGAAAGGGGGCCTGGGCGGCTTACTATTCAGTGTGCGCATGCTCCCTTTCCCCGGGGCTGAAAAAAGAAGGCCCTTCTCCTTTCAGCAGTGCCAGCTGCCTGGAAGTCTCCAGTCCCTCTGATTGTGTCTCTCTAGAGGACAGCCCTCAGTTTCTGCCCAGGCTGGGTGGAGGCAGGATGGGGGCCGACTGCGTCTTAACCGACCTACTGCGAGTCTTCCATGGTCACACACTTGGACGTCCCTGGTGCTGGGAGTCCTGAGCCACATCAGGCTTCTGAGCTGACCTTCTGAGCTGTCTGGCTGACCCACGTTTTCTAGGTCACTCTGCCATTTGCTTTCCACTGCCCCAAATTTTGTTGCTCTTGTCTACGGATCTGCCCTTTGTCCTTTTGTGTTTATGTCTTTTTAAAAATCCCCTCTCTACTATTTTCTAGTGAGAATGTAGGTAAGCACATATATTAAATCTGTAATGTTTACTGGACGTTCCTTAATAATGGATTTTTTTCCCTCCCAAGTTTTTATTATGAAAATTTTCAAACACATGAAAAAATGAAAACAATAGAATGAACACCATTGTATATATTCTCCACTTAGATCTAACAGTTAGCTTTTTGCCATATTTTCTTTATCTCCTCCACCCTTTCACTTTATATATATGTGTGTGTATAATAATCTCCATATATATACGGTATGTATAAGGTAGATATATCTGTAGTTTCTCTTTGCTGTAATGTTTAAAGGTAAGTTACAGATATTGTGACTCTACTCCTAAATAGTTCAATATACATTTCCCAAGGACAAAAATATTATCTTACACTGTAATATCATGGTCATACCTATAGAACTTAAAAAAAAGAAAGTTACGTAATACCATCTAACGTCTATTATATTTAAATTACACAGTTTCAAAAATTCTTTTATAACTTTTTTTCCCTTACAAATTGGGATCCAGTTGAGATAAACATGTGCAACTGGTGGTTATTTCTCTTTTAGACTAGAAAAATGCCTCAAAGCTTTTGTTTTTTGCTTTTAATTAATCTTGAATAATATTTGTACCTATAGAACTGGATAAATAACTAAAGATAAGACCCTGATAAGGTGATGTTAGTGAAAGCATGTGGGAACACAATTTTATTTTATAAAATAATTTTAATGATTTGTTTTTCTAACTCAAGTGCTACTAATCTAAAACTTAGCCAAGCTATGCTTTGCACATTCAGTTTATTAATATTTAAAATAAAGAAGCAGTATTTATTTTCGCTGTGATAGAGAACTATATTTAGAGTTTTCCCAGCCCAACCCACCTCACCTTGCATACTTTGCCAGCATTCAGCCTCATGACTTTTGTTTGCTTCAAATTGAATGTGAGTCTAAGCTCAAAGGGCATGCATTTCTGTTTATGACTAAGGGCTAATCTCTGAAGTTAGTATAGTTATCAGACATTCCTGACATTCCATATGTCTAATTTTTAGTGATTGGAGGATCTGGTGCTATGCCAGAGGAAAATAGAAGCTAGAGAGCACAAGGAAATACCACCAAAGAAAGTCTCCCTGTAAGTTACAAAAATTCAATCACATATTTAAATAGCAAAGCAAATGCTGGGTGTGAAATAGCAGCTTTTTAGCACCATTCTGCTGTTTTATGTTATTTGATTCTTGAAATTCCAACCCTGGAGCTTAAAAAAATGTGCGCTTCGTTTATTTTGTATGTTAGTTGTATTCAGGGCCAGGATGAAGTTTTTCAGTTCTGCAGAACAAACACTTGCAGAAGCCTAGTACCCTGAGGGTGACATAGTGTGTATTGATGGGGATGTCAGTACAGATGGGGGTGATCAGCAGAAAGTAGATGCATTGAACACAAGTTGAATGAGCACCACATGTTGTTCTTGCCCCTAGGAACTACAGTGGTATACAAAACAAGTCATGGGGAGGTAGGAAGGAGGACTATACCAATAAAGAAAATAAACTCAGACATGATAATAGCATTAAAGAAATAAACCGTGTGATATGATAGGCAGTGACTGCTTAGACTCATGTATTAGCTCTGCTGAGGTTATAAGTAAACTGTAAATCTCGGTGACTTCCACAACACATGTCTCCTTGCTCACATTACATCAAGTTAACTAAAGAATAAAATATGTAAAATAATAATGAAAATAATAAACCTTGGGGCTGAGGATTGTGCATGATCTATGAAATCATTTGGTCACTAAAATGTGTTTAGAAAAATTCCAGTTTGTCTTGGTCAAATAAACATATATCACAAAAGAGTAAAATTAGATTCTTATGTTAATAAATTAAAATACAACCTTTGTAAATTTAGTAGAAAACAATTTAATACAAAGCAATTGAAGAGGGAAGTTGTAGGGCCCTTGGTCAGAAGCTTTAAATGTTTGTTATACTCCTTTGATGTTCAACAATGTTCAAGAAAGGCTAAATAAGAAGGGTGTTTCCTCTTCTTAATGAAGGCATTATATATAATATATGTGAACAGACATTCTGTAGAAACTGTCTGTGATCAAGACTTGTATCTAAGCTTGAAAAGCCCTAGCTGATGTTACAGCAAAAAATCCAGCGTCACATTTATGAATGTAGGCATACATTTTTTGCATGTCTCTAAATGGTCATCTTTGAAATGTTAAGCATGCTTTCCAGCATGTGCATTTTCTCTGGCATGAGAAGTTTCAGGTGTACTGAGATTGACTGACTCATTTATCTTCTCAGAGTTTTCTTTGGAAGCAGTCAGACTTGGTTTTAATTGTTCAGTAATCTGGTCAGATGCCTCCATGGTCTTCCCATTCTAGAAGGCCTGCACGAGGAGTTTCTTCCCCACTTTGGGCTCCTGGAAGATCACTGAAAGCCAAATGCTAGATAACTCCATTTGAGTCAATTATTTGGAGATCTCTTAGTGAAAGACCAGGCTCCACTAACAGCAGCGCTATTACATTAAGAAATTTGTTCGGTTATATCTGGCAGGAATGCAACATTCATGCGGTCAAACCAACATAACTTTCTTCATGAGTTTATCCAGGCAAGATTGACAAAGTTGGGACCTCCTTTAACAATACCAAATTTATATTATGAACATTTTAAAATTTATTATGAAATTCATTTGCTTTGTCTCTAAATGTAGTAATAGCCATAGACTATAAAAAAGTAAAAATCAGGAGAATGGAAGTGAAGCATCAGATACTTCCCCACAGATCATCAAGGCTTAATTCTTACTAAGAGAACAGATTACGGAGGGACAGGAGTGAAAACATAGCAGCCAGTTAGGAGTTAATCCCGGCAGGAGATGCTAGTAGCTTGCACCAGAGAGGCGGAGATGGAGAAGGGACGTGTGTGGATTGGGGCCGTGTCCTGGAGGTGAGCCTAAAGGACTTTATGGATTGACTGCTGGACAGGAGGCAGAGGCAGGCAGCAAGGAGGACACTGCCCAGATTGTGACTTGAGCCTCTGGGTCGATGATGTGCCATTTTCCTTGATGGGGTCATCTGGGAGAGGAGTGGGGTTGGGGGAGGTGTTCATGCAGGGGGAAATCCAGTTGTTTTACATGCGTTACATATGGTGTAGCTATTAAGCGCCCCATGGAATTATCAGGTATATACTGTCTCTAGTAAGTCTGGATCTCTTAAGTCCAGCTGGAAATCACTCACTCATTGTTTTCTCTAATAAACATCTGTTGAGCACTACATACCATGCTGTGTGCTTGGCATGCAGAGGTGGAAAAACCAGTAGGAACCTGGTGATCAAAACAGACAAGTAAACTGAAAAATGTAAACAGTGTGAAATATTTGAATGGGAAAATGTTTTCAAAGATTGTACAATGTCACTGAATAGTGACAGCTTCAGGAATACGATGGCTTCCCTGAGAAGATGATGTTTAAGTTAATTTTTCAGTAAATTGAACCTTAGAGGACAACTGTTAAGTGTGAAACTGAGAAAGGGGTCAGGATGATGTAAAAGTGGAGTGAAAGAAGATGATCTGGGTAGAGGGAACTACAGTATAAAAGGATCTTTTGCTCCCTGTGCACCAGGCAGACTGGTTTTTTTTTTTTTTTTTTTTTTTTTTTTTTTTTTTTTCAGCTAAACATTTGGGTAGTACAGGCAGACTGGTTTTTCCTTGAGCTCTCCTGGGTTCACTTTTGAGTAGTTGGTGGCGTAGGCATCTGCAGTGCAGATGTTCTGTTTCTGAGCTGTGAAGCAGTATAGCATTTTTACCCTGTGCCATCTTGTCCTATGAGCTTCTGGTGTTAATGAGGGTATCTTGTTGGTACTAGCGGTGCTTGCTTTCTTCTGGGTTGTTTCGTGTTTGTAGAACACTATGCCAGTAACTCACGTTCCGAAACCTGTCCCAGCCCACCAAGCTTGAAGTCTAATTGAAACCCTCTCAAAAGCTAGTCTGGGATGCAAATGTTCATAGCAACATTATTCATAATAGCTAGAAGTGGAAACGATACATATATCTATATACTGGCAAATGGATACACAAAATGTGGTACATCCATGGAGCGGAATACTATTCAGCAACGAAAAGGAATGAGTTCTGGATAAATGCAATAATGTTACATACCTCAGAAACATCATGCTAAATTAAAGAAGCCAGACACAAGAAACCACAAATTATATGATTTCATTACATGAAATTCCAGAAAAGACAAATCTATAGAGACAGAAAGTAGATTAGTGGTTGCCTGGCAAGAGGGAGGGGTGGAGAGTGA